TACTTCGGACAGGCACTGGCATTTTGTAGTTTTCTCTATATGGCCATTCAAAAGGACTACATTACTCATAAGTCAACAGCGCTTCCAGCTGTTGCTTTTTGCTGAAATGGAGGGAAAAGTTTTGATCCTATCCAAAAAAAGTTTGGTTCTTATTCACAGTGACTTGGGTGCTCAGTGGATGCAGAGAGCAGTTTGCTTGAAGGTCTGATGTCTTCTCTGGGCCTCACCGGGACTTGTTTCATCTGGATACCTCTGGATTATTTGGACTCGATCGGGACCATTGTGTGGTTTTGTGCTGGTTATCCAAAGTTCCAGCTTGGTGCTCAATGGCTGCAGAGAGCCGATCAGAACTGGACCAGAATATATATATATATATATATATATCGTTCCTATTTTGCAGATTTTCACTTATTGCAGGGGTGTCTGGAACATATAACCCCACGATAAACGAGGGACCACCGTAGATGTTTACATTTAGTCAAATTGTCAAGTAGTTAAACATCACTGGATCGGAGACTAAATTTTTCTATTGCAAGAGAAACTTGCAGCGCCACAAACGGCACAAAACTTAAGAGACTTTGAAAACTTGAGATATTCTTGTTTAAATGCAGGCTATGCACAGACTTCACATAACAGTTGCTTCATGGGAGACTTTGGTTCTGTTTGTCCCCATATTCAGCTAAATGGTTGTTTACAAAGATTTATTTTAGGCTGCTTTGATGATGTCACGGGCCAGACTGAGACAGTATAATGGCCATTTCTGGCCCCAGAGCCACATGTTGCCAAACAAATATCAGGCTCTTTTAGTCACCTTCAGCTTAGATTCACTCCAAACCATTATGGGAATTCCTTTAAATCGATATCAGAATAAACGCTGACTGGTTTAGTCATCTCCGATTTGATTAGTCATGATGTTCTGGTGGCATGAAGCCCGAGTACAGTAATCCACAGCCTTCTCTGATCAGTGCACTGTTTATTTTATATAATCATTGACTTTTGTTGTCCTCCAGTCAGTCCCATAACTCCCAATATTCAGTTTCTCAGCTACAGTACAGCTAGTTACACAGCCAGGTACCAGACGTACCCTCACTGTTGCCTGCAAGGATCAAACTTTGATTCATGCCTTTAAAACTCGAGTCACACACCCTGTACGTTCATAATTCTAAGTCAGCAGCTTATATAATGCAAACTTTTAACAGTCTGCCCCACCTCTCTGTTGTAAAACTTCATGCCATTGTCTTAGCAAGCAGTTTCGCTGTACTCTGCTGACGTTTGTCGCACACCTACAAGAGACAGGCTTTTCACATTCAGTCCAAGTGATTTAATTGCACGTGTGTCCTATTGTATCAATAAAGAAAGACGTCAAAGATGTTGCATTTCAGTGAAATATCTTTATTTTATCGATAGGCCTACACTTGTGTTTCATTAACTCTCCTTTTTATACATAAGATAGTAATAGTACATTATTCACACAAACGTTGCTAAACACGAGTAGACATCATATTTCAAATAGACAGACACGATCCAGAGTAGCACAAAGCTGCGTATTTAGTCAGTGACAATAGAAGAGCTGCTTATGAGAAAATGTTTGTTCGTTATGTAATTACTTAAAACCGTCAAATTCATTGTTTTAAATGCTGATATTTGGAAACAAGCAACAGTCAATGAGCACAGTTGCTCTGAGTATTAGTTTGTGTTAAACTACAGGCATGTGTGTGAAGGGTCAGCCTGTGAATATACTGTAAACCAAACATCACCAGGCATAAATGCCGCCTTTACGTGGAGCCCTAGCAAAAAAAAAAAAAAGAAAGCGAAACAATAAATAAAATAAACTTTCAACATGCTCGATAGCGTCTGGAGTTTTGGTCAAGCGTACAATGTCACCTGTAAGTTATAAAATAAATAAATGCATAAAACGGGCAAAAAGCAACACAATAAAGGATACTGCAAGTAACTTCTCTGCATTTTCAAAAAAATTACATAGCAAGGGTTTTAGTAAGCGCCAGCTGCAGCTGAGGACATCTATCCATCAGCTCTACAGAACAACTAGTGAAGCCATGAACCAGTCAGCAGGCTCCTTTGATATTTTACAATATTGTGGCTTGATTCAGTGCACAACATGGTGAACAAACAAGCAAGGCATCTGTGTTTTTATCTATAGAATCCTGCATGGTGAGCATGCTGCTTGGTATGCTTAATCAACACAACACAAACTGTCAGCAGCCTGGTGGCTGCGTGGTGACGACTTTCTATCAAAGTGAAAAAGTGGGACATTAAGTACCCACACGCTCTTCCTCAGATGGCACAAGTGCTGATATTTCAACATCTACAGCAGATAAAGTTTGTAATGCGGACAAAGTTCAAGTTTAGTAACCTTTGTCGTTGATTCAGACTTCAGACTTCCCTTCAATTTGTATTCCCCTTATTAATTTTTGCCGCAGTTTTTGAACGTTGACTGGCCTTGTGTTAGTTTTGTCATAACTCATATTTGGCAGCTTAACTCTAAAGATGCTTTAAGTGACAGAGAAAGAATGGCTCCGCTTACCCTCATCGATTTAAAAAGAAAACTTGAGTCAAATGTGGCAATTTGGTATTTCAGACTCATAGATTTGACAGGAACGACTTTGTCTATACTTCCTTCAAATGAGAGGAAATTCTCCTGACGTAAAAAATAAAAATCCACGTGCCAGAGAATCAAACCTCGTGGTCATTTACATAATCCCAAGCAACTGAACTGTACAACAACGAGAGTAACGGCACTAAGAATCGGAACTGTGCAATAACTCAAGAGCGGTTAGCTGTGTTGGTCTGCAATCCTACATAATGCCATGCAACTGGATGAAAACAGATCGGTTTATTCTCTGACTTAAATGTCAATCCCCCCCCACCCCCCCAAAAAAGATAATCAGATTCAATACAGTAATGCACATCCACACGGTTACTTTGAAAAGTCACTGAGTTGTAAAGGAGGAAAGACAAAAAAATACAGGCTCTCCATCCCAGGAGCAGGGTGTCATGGGTGGAGTAAGTGGCCACTGAGAGACAAGCTGTTGGTGTGGTGGTGGTGGTGGGGGGTGTCAGGCTGGGTGGGATTCAAGTGTACTAGCAGGAGCAGCTGCTCTCAGTTACAGTCATCTCAGGCTGCTTCTCCAATTTGATGTCGATCACTGGGGCACGCAGAGTTAAGCAATATATTCAATGAGTTGCAAGATTCACTTCTATATTTTCTGTTGTAGCTAAGCCTGTTCCCACATCAGTGAACTTCTACTTATACGGTAGTCCTTACATCTGCTGCAGTAAATATCCACGTTTACGTTTTGTACACAACAAACTGAAGACCACCGTTTTCTGGTTTAAATAACCACCCTTTATGAAAACGTTACCTACCGTGTGCAGTATGGGACAGAGTAAACTAAAACAAAATGTGAAAAGAGATCGCTCGTTTATTTTACAAAAATATGCTAAAATAATGTTGGTAGCCTTAAACGGAGCACTTTTTGCTTTGGTCATATTTCAAACCAAGTGATTAGGTACCTTAAAGCTCTTCATTGGACATTAAGTTTATTTAAAAGGGTTTGTTTGGTTTGTGCACCACACTGAACATGGAGCAGATAAAACAGCTGTGTGAGGAGCTCAAATAAAGATTTTAGATATCCAAATTAAAAGTAAAGGCTTTAAGACGAACTCCAAGCAGCTTCACGTTGCAAATATTTAAAATTAACTTTCACGGGGGTGTAGTCAACCTCCCATTATGTGGACACAAGAGGAAATGCAACCATATGTTAATCAGAGTGTGGATAGGGTAAAAAAGCCACAGAAACCATTCCAATTATTCAATTTAAACTCCAAGGTCAAGGTGTGTCACTTTCTGATCACACCACCTGTTGCATTTAAAAATCAGAACCAGGAGGGTTCTACTACTGACAAAAAGACTGAAAAACGCCTAAATGTATGTCCAGAAGCCCCTACCTTTCTAGGACTTATCAAACAAGATTTTTTTTTATGGCTCCAGTCACATCAGTTGTGCTTTTTTGAACTTTTACTGTGGTAGGATGTCAACAGATTTAACCACCTCTGTATGAGTTTATCAGTCAACTGCAGTGTAAACATTAACACCAAAAACGAAGAAAATCTAGGCTTCGTCAAGCTATAACCAAACCAGCAAACGCAACTTTTTTACCCATAAATCAACAACATGCAGGTTATTACACACCTGCAAAGAATACTGATTACAGTGTGGAAGCCAAAAAAAAAAAAATAAATAAATACATTTAAAAAGTCCTTGAGTGAGATTCACACTGGGTCGTAAACCCTTACAGAATCCCCAGTTCTGTTTGGTCCAAACCAGTACATGATCTACTAATTACCAATTTTTATGCAGAATAAAATATTGGATATATTCCAAAGCTGATTTCATAATATATATTCAAATATTCAGGTCTCTCTTGTAAATGAGTCCCCAAGGCTCAGTGGGATTAACCTGTATAAATAAAAAGGTTGAATATAAGGAAAAAAACAGTTAAAAGTAACTTCAAAAGGATACTGTCCTCTTTGTTTTTCTCCGGTGTGCTGTCCATCCCAGGCAATGCAGCAGCAACACGTCGGAACAGCTACGAAGCACATGAACGTAGTTACACAGATGATCAAAGATTATATTTGTCCTTGCACCTTTCCTACTACATTGACTGTGTAAATGAAACAAACTGCTGTCACAGTTCGACTGTATGATCTAAACATACTTTTGTACAATGCATACATTATGAAAAAAACAACAGCAATCAAAGTACTTCTTTGCCTATTCATACAATTTGGTGTTAAAAACATTTTTTTGTGCATCCAAAACCCTTACCAGTTTTCTTACAATAAAAAAAGTCTACACTTTATTACAAAGGTGATGCAATCTTTCTTACTTATTTTAAGCAACTCATTTAATGGCTAAGTCTGTGAAATAATGGGTTGGTTAAGTAGGTAAGGGAAGTAAACATTTTAACAACATTTTTTCCTGATCAGTAACAGTGTTATGGTTAATCTGCGGCTAATTACATGACAATAGTACAAACTTTAAATTCTATATAAAAATGACTAAACAAGGTTTCATGGTTTTACCAATCCCAAGTTTAACTTCAGCTGCTCCACAATGAGCGAGCAAGATTAAAACTGGTAGGGACAAAACAAGTGAGGGGTTGAAAACAGGATCAGACATTACAGGAGAAAAGCTTAGGATGTTTAAGATTCTCAGCAATTCATGATAAAAATGATTTTAATCCACAGTCCTCCGAGAGTCCAACATTTCTTTGCATTTAGGTTGTGCCATCCTCAACACAACATCTATCGTTTTTGAAGTCAGTGTTTGAAAGTTAAGTAAAACCATTCTATACTTTATGCAAAGCACAACAGTGAATGTGGTCATTTCTTTGGGTGTCCTGCAGACCGTCAGACTGACACCGACCGTTTCTCAGTGTGTACCTCTCATGAAGCACTACTAAAGAGCTAGTCAATACATGTCAATGAATAACCTCAAACACAAGCAGCATGAACACGTTAATGCCATTCCTGGGTGATAAAACGGCATGTGTAAAGGTTGCCATGCCAACCTTTTCTACATGGCAAATATGTTATACCATTTCCAAAATGTTGGGATGCTGTGTGAAATACATAATAAAAACAAAAGTTGTGTCAAATCAGGCTAAACATACTTATCAAATAAAATGGTTATTTAAAATTTGAGTTTGCATATACTAGTATATATATATATATATATACACACATTATATACATACATACATACATACATACATACATACACAGTCTTTATCCTATTTTTTTTGGAAATGGCATATGTTTACAGAAAACTTTTAAAAGCTGAAAAAGTTCTAATGGATCAAATGAAAAGTAACTCGAAGCAGAACAAGTGAAGTCACAGTGAAATGTTTAAAAACAAAACTTGTGGGTGTGAGAAGACAACTGAAAGAGTATTACAAAGCCAAGAGTTCAAAATGAGAAGGAAACAAGTCGTGATGAGCCACACAACAGAAAGGGGTGGAAGAAAGCGTGAAATGTGGATTGATGGTAGATTTAGAAGAACTACGCTGAGAAAACTGATATGCTACCTGTTTGACATTGTAGCCAGTCTTTGCGCTGGTTTCAATGAACATGACATTCAGTTCCTTAGCTCTCTGCTCGCCCTCCTCCGTGGTGATCTGTCTGCTCCGGTAGAAGCAGAGGGGGGGACAGATGGACGAAGAGACAGATATGGAAAGAAACATTGCAAAGAGGATAAGACAAAGGGAGATGGGAAGAAATGGACAAAGAAACAAAGAGAAAGCTTAACATAGAATATTACTTTGGGCGAAAAAGGGGTTAGTTCACAACTTGGACAGAGAAGTAGACAAAAGGAAGAAGCTGCTGCATTAAGTAAAGAACAGGAAATTGACTCCACAAGCAACTCATTCATTGAACACACACACAAAAAAACATAATGAAAAAGATCTGGGCTCCTCATCCAAAATGTTCTAACTTCTTGACCCATTAAGACGTTATGACCTGTGCTGGAAACAGGATAATTTGTCTCTGTCACACCTGCACCTGTTACTGAACACCAACCTGCTTGACGTTATAGCCAGCCTTGGCGCTGGTCTCTATGTACATCACATTGAGCTCACGAGCTTTCCTCTCTGCCGCTTCAACAGAAACTTGCCTGCCATGGTCCCATGGGAAGAAGGGGGGGGGGGGGGGAAGTGTTGAGGAAAGCGTACATGTACAAAAAAGAAAATCAAATCAAAATGACATGACAGGAAAACAAAAAGGCAAAAAAATGGGGATAAAACAGAAATATGTTCTGATCAAAGGAAATAAAAGTACTTGAAACATTAATAAAAATGCTGGAGTACACAACGTTACAATGAATGATAAAAGCCAAAACTGGGTGAGATGGACAGAAGGAAAAAACACGGGGACTCCAGGCTTAGGCATAAACTACATAATTGTTGTATATGTTGTAACAAAATAACATAAATATAATACATATGTTTGTGTGACTTTGCAGAAAACTGTAATTTTCTTTACAACATTCAGTTCTCAGACAATCCTTTACCTTTTATCCGCTAAGTCTGTTTTGTTTCCAACAAGCATAATAATGACATCACTTCCTCTCTCTGTCCTAACATCATCAATCCATTTAGAGGTTTGCTGGAATGAATTTAAATCTGCAAATGGAAAACAAAACATAACTTGATTGTACACATCAGCCATTATAGTCAAAAACACATTATTTTATTAGCTACAGTTTAAAGTATGCATTGACTGGGATGCGATTTCATGACACAGATCATATTAGGTAAGATGGAAGTCATTTGTTAGTAGGCAGTTCTGTAAGGAAGCTTAGAAAGAAAATATATGGGGAGAAAGCTACAGTATTGTGAGAGAACAAATAGCAAAACGGTTTATTTCCAGTTGTGAAAGACCCCTACAGGAAAGTTATAAGTACAGCCCTGACTCACTGGTGATGTCATAAACAACCACAGCAATGGTAGAGTCACGGATGTAGCTGGGAATTAGGCTACGAAAACGCTCCTGTCCAGCAGTGTCCCAAAGCTGGAGCCGGACCTGAGGATTGGAACGTAGAAGAAGACAAAAAAGGGTAAAGATAAGGAGGAGACAAGGGAAGGAATGAAAAGTGAAGATTAGCAAGCAAAGCGCCAAAGGAAATCAAATCGCCTTTTACTGGGGTATGGGAGAAAATCATTCAAGTGCAGAAAGCTCAGAGACATCGACTGTTATGCACACAAGACTTGTGAAAGGAAACCCTGCTGAAATATTATTTAGGCAGTTTGAGAGAAGTGACACTGATAGATATTAGTCTATCAGCTTCATTTGTGACAGCATTTAGGAAGCACAGAGCCCTCTGGATAGTGTCAGAACAATGCTTGATGATCACCACAGCTGATGCAAACAGTCCTCTCATGCTGTTTAACAGGGTTTGTTGTGCCACTAAATGCTGGGATTTTTGCCCTTCCATGTAATGAGCGAAGGACAACAAGGAGAGGCAAGGCCATGATACCTACTGGCTATGTCATAAACCACCACAGCGGCAGCTGAGTCGCGGATGTAACTGGGGATGAGGCTGCGGAAACGTTCTTGTCCGGCTGTGTCCCAAAGCTGCAGCCGAATCTGTGGCCAGCCGTGACACAAATGTGGGACCGTGGGGAGGGTATATTTCATGATCAAGCCAGGGGATGGAAAGGAAAACAAAATTTTGACAAATAATGATGGGAACTAAAAACGCGATCACATTTTAATCAAAATGAATGACAAATCTAAAACGGTGTAAAACCACAATGTGAACTGAGAAGAAAATAAATGGTGACTAATACACAAAAAGCAGATGCATGCCTTTCTAGCAGTTTTATAACTTCACCCATAGAAATGATTTAAAACTATGATAAAATAGGGCTTACCGTGCGATCTTCTAGGTACATGGTTTTTGACAAAAAGTCGATGCCAATTGTTGCCTGTAAGAAAAACAATGTTCTTTAGGCCATTTTATATTAGCTTGTATTGCCCTAATGTATAATTTTTGTAAATAAACCACATTGTAATAACTTGGGAACAAACTGGACCACATTATGTGCTAAATTTGAACACTTATCAAGTATATTTTAACTTAAAATATATATTTTTGAACCTGACAGCAGGTGAATAGGCACCCAACTTTATAAAAACCCACTTACACGTGAACCTGTATCAAGTATTTTGTCGATGTGTGGCCCATATATATTTATTTTTGGTTTTAAAAACTGAAAATGTGGGGGAAAAATATGGCAGCACAGTACAACTCCCAGTGAACCATTTCATTTGGATGAAAGTCTGGTCTTTGACTGGGCCTTTTGTTCTTATTTTTACACTACTCTGTTATAAATTTGTTCATGTTGTCAGTGTTACTGCCTTGAGTAAAGCCCAAACATGTAAAAAGATTTAACTTTCAAACAGATGCCTGAAGAGAACTCTGATGACATTCAGAAGAGGTCATAGTCAAGCCCTCCATTGTTCCTCCTCTGTCAGGTATGTTCGAGTGCTTTTGGACAGTTATTTTAACTTTGAGAAGCAAGTGTCTACGGTCAAAATCAGTTTTTAATTTTCTGTCAAGAATGGGCTTTTTAATCCTGGATCTATATTTTCAGTATAATTTATTGTAGGGCTGAAACGATTCCTCAAATCATTCGAGGACCTCGATTACAAAAATCCTCGAGGCAAATTTATCTGCCTCGAAGCTTCGTTAAACTATTCAGAGCACTGTGGTCTAGCCGGAAGGTTTTTGTGTTACACAACGCTAGCGCTTCCGCTAGCACTTCCGCTAACGCGTATGTGCTGTTTGTAGCTATGGAGGGAACGGAGACTGCCTAGAAGAGCTCCAGAAACAACAAAAGCTGTCAAAAGTTTGGGAACATTTTAGGCTAAACAGAAAAGACAACACAGCTCGATGCTTCCACTGCAAAGCAGAACTGGAGTAACCACAACAGCACGTCATCGATGCTGCAGCGTCTGAAGAGAAAACACCCGCTGTAGCATCAAACTCTTCCGCAGCTGTAACAAGTATCATGTTCTCTTTGCAAAATACGTGAACCCAAACGTGTGATAATCTGTCATGTTATAGATGTAAAATGAGGCTTATTTTTGCTAACGTTAAATCTACTGACTAACCATAGTGGCTACCTGGCAGGGTCTGTACGTTGTGTGAGGGAAAAAAAATATGCAGGACTTAATGCAAGTTTGTTAATGATAAAAGTAGCAACAGACTGACGCATTTATTTATTGCTGTACTTCCATCCCGACTTAAATTAGATATTTAGGGTGAATATTTCAAGTGTAAATGTATTTACACGAGTAAGTAGGATTTTTTTTTCTTGATACTGCTGTTTATGACTTAAAAACTGGGATTAATCTGCATTTATTACAACTGCCATATTTGTTTATAGCTAAGCATTCAAGACTAAATAATAAAACAGTCTGCAGAACTCAATGTACAAACTCAAACTTTTACATTATCTATCTTACTCAATTTCTAACATAAAGATTTGTTCAGTTTTCCAATCCATAAAAAATATTTACAGCACTTGGATTTTTCTGTGATGGTTAAAAATAATTCAGTGACAGAGGGTTTTAATTAAATCATCCTCAAACCTCACACATGAATAAAAGCTTAAAATGCATAAATCAAATACAACTGACATACTAATGTTACTTTGATTGCAGGAGGGTCATCAGAAAGTGTAGATGAAGTGTATGTAAATGAGTATGGTAGTTTCTGCAGAACCTCACAAATGTTGTTTTCGATTACTCGATTAATTGACAGAATAATTTATCAATTACTTGATTGCTAAAATATTCGTTTACAACAGCACTAACTTATTGTACTTCAAATTGTTCTGAAATGGCTTTACAACCTTCCTGATTTAACAAACAGCTGCTTATTTAAGGTATACGATGATGTCTTTATTGCTTAAGTTTTCCCCCTGTCATCTGCATGCTCCACAAAAAACACTTTCTGTTTTAACTATAGGTGAGCACGCTTGTTGATAATCAGGGGAGTTAGATTAGCACCACCTAGCCACTACTTAAGCTCTTAACTCGTGAATAAAATACAACGTGTTGTTGTTTCTTAGACATTATATTTACCTAAACTTAAAACCAGTTAACAAATAAATGTTTTTGTTATATTCAGATCAATAAAACCTTACAACTGGGAGAGAGAGAATAAAATTTCCACCATGCCAGCAACTGGGTATCCGTGGACAGCTTTGTAATGATTCTGTTAAAGCTTTTTCTTGTCTTAATGATGTAGAATACTGCATAATAAATACCTTAAATATTTAGAAGAAAATCCCTTTTAAAAAGGTACCTCCTAGTGTGGTTTATAGTTAATTTATAAAAACCTATCTGGATACCCTTTTTATGTAAAACAAACTAAGAGTTGGAAGCCATAAAATTATTCAATTTGCATACAACTTGTTAAAACTGCTGCAGCTGATATATGATTATACCTGCTAAAAAATTATAAAAAATAAACATATCTGAAAACCCATAAACAATCATGAGGCACAGTTATTCTTTATAGTATTGTTGTTTTTTTTTTTACCTGGTAAGTGTTGTCGAAACTGTCATACATAAACCTGGTAATGAGTGAAGTCTTCCCAACTGCACAGAGAAACACAGCAGCACTTCAGTAACACTACATTTCATTAAAAATAAATATCCAGTTATCTACTGTGATCAATGGTATATCAAGTAAAGAAAACGCTGATCTCAGTGACGTCATGTGGTGGGTAAACTCCTACCATGATGGGATGAACAGCTGAACCCACATGCTGAGCTGGCAATAAGGGTGGAGCCACAAATTTTTTTTTTATTTTTTTTAAAGAAAATTAAAAATGACTGCACTTCTTATGGCACTATTACGGCTGTGATGCGAGCCTTTAACGATGAAACCACACAAAAGACTATTTAAATACGGTCCAAATGGACAATATCGATGAGGGAAAGGGCCGACTGGTCAGGACCCAGGCCAGCAGCCGACGTGGCTCTATGATGTTGCCAGCTAATTGCCAGCTACGAGCTAACACGACAGATCTAGAGTTAAATTACTTTTCAGACATATGTATAGAAACTTCTTACATTAAAGCTTATAGTCGTTAAACTACGGCCAGTCTCCTAACTCAATAGTAAACAGTTGATGTAAATATTCGGTAACATTGTGTTAGCACCATTGGCTAAGTTAGTTACAAGTAATCAAGAAGCTAGTACGGCTGAACAGCCCGAGTAACATATTTTTGCTTTAGGTTGGCTGAAAATCAAACACATGTCACTAAAAACTGGCGCAAGATATATTTACAAACATTTAGCTAATTGTTATGGGGATGATTAGGTGTTTGGCTAGCTTAGCTAGCAACTGGAAGCTAACCTAACGGTAGCTACCATCAATGACATCATCACCAATGTAGAAAAATAGGGCGCTTCGTCGTCTTCATAATTATTATTTTTGTCTCGGACACATTCATTTCAACATTGAATTACTAATACCTCCCCGTGTATCACTGTAAATCACTGATATCTACTAAATTATTTAACCCTGGCTCAGTGGTTGCGGGCTAACACGGTAAGCTAGCAGGCTAACGACTTATATCGTTTCCTAAATCAGACATTTTAAATTTGTTCAAAGATGAAGCGTGACTTTCTTACCACTCTGTTCACCCAGAAAGACGAGCTTGAACTTTCTTAAAGGGTTGCCAAACTCCCCACCGCCGGTCGTGGTTGACATTTTGTGTAAAATGTGCAGCTAATGTAGCAGACTTCTGGCTAACTGTGTCTAGACCGGAGGAAACCGAGGATCTCCAGCGCTATACTGTTGAAGCACGCTTCTGCTTTGACTGTTAGCAAAATGGCTATTTCGCTGGTTTTTAAAGGGAATTAAACTACAATTTACACATTTTGTGACGTTGAAAACTTTTCTTCTGTTGGTCAAAAATTTCAAAAGGGATTTTTTTAGTGCTTTATTGTTTCTAGAGCTCTGTTGGTTGTTGAAGTGGGCTAGAAGCTAAAAAAAAAAAGTGGTGAAATAGACTGATATTGAACATTCCCTAACATAATAATACACTAAAGAAAAATGGATCGCAAACCGTGTTTTAAAAAAACTTTATGAAGTGTAGGAAAGTCCAGTACAGATTTGACAAGGCTACGCATTATAGGTTTTGAATCAGTGCTGGTTTAAGGTCAACAAAATATGTGAAATGGCCCTTTAACCACCCTGTGAAAACAAAAGCTAGCTTCTGCGTCGTTTTCAGCGCTTTTGTTTTCTAAACAAATTGCAGTGAAATAGCGCAACCAAGAGGCAACTACTGAAAGATAAGGCTGAACGACTAAATTTATATTTCTTTATTATATAATACCCTATTGTTATCCATCACAGCTCGAAAAATTGTCATTTTATACAAGGGCTTTAAGCTGTTAAAAGTTTCACTTCAATTTGAGCTCATGAATCTCAACTGAATGCATCATTGTGTGGATTGGGCATCCAATAAATTATATTTAGTCTTTTTTTGCATTCTTCTATTTAACATTTATTTCTGTAACGTTCACAACGTTGAATGTAAAAATACCAATGTGAAATGATAAAACCTATTGAAAGGAGGACAGAAGATGATCTGTGGGGACTGTGTTTGTTTAATTGTAAATGATAATAACAATAATAATTTTCATTCAACCTTTATTTAGACAGGTAAATCCCATTGAGCCTCGAGGACTCGTGTACAAGAGAGACCTGATTATAATAATTCATGTATATAATAATTTCAGAGTGTTCATCCAACAACATTAAGTACATTTATCTTTTTCCACATTGCTCCAACAACACAAGTCAAGATTAACGATAAATGAAAATCAGATTTTTCATTGTTTTTACAAATCTGCGCAAAAGTATACCCTATACTATGAAACATTTCCTTTGACAAAGTAAGCAGTATGTACATTAGATGACTTTTTTCTACGATAGAGCTCTCAGGGTAATTTACTATAATAAACTATACACAGGGGGAATCAAAAACACTAAGATAACTGTATGATTTTGTGTGTTCTTCGTTTGTGTTGAGTTCCTTTGTATTCTTTGCCAGGTAGATTATTTTTCTTTTTTCATCACTCGATGGGGTCAAATATGACATCAGTCCTGTAAAAAAAAGTGCAGACCAACTTCACACCAGGGAACTATACAGAAAGCTTTTATAATTGATTAATTGTTGCATTCAACTTGTTTCAAGATGCATGATTAACCTTAAAAAACACAAAAATGGGTACAACTCAGACAGTTGTACAGATATTGAGCTATAATTTGGTTCAATAAAAGCTGAGGGTCATTCACAATGCACACTGTGGGCGCTAACAGACAGTATATAATATTATTTTCAAGGTTTTACCAAAACAACCAGAACTCTGTCATTATTGAACTTAACATGATCATTTAAAACTGGCACAAAAGGACGACATCCAATCCTTTAACGAGTCTTGGGCCTAAAATCGAGTATGCAGCCATGAATCGATCAGCTAACATTTAACAGGGATGTATAATTTGGGCAGTATTTTATGTAATTTATAGTTTTCCAAATCAGCATACAGTACATGCTCCTATGATCAGGTTGATCTTTAAATTTCTAATGAATAACCTTAGAGAGGGAAGTAGACAGTTTGATTTTATTTATCACACAAACACAACAAAAGTGCATTTTTTTAAGGTTTCAAGGGATGCTAGCTTAAATAAATGATAGCAACTCTTGAAGCGTTGGACACTTAAAAACATCCTCAGTCTGAGTTGACGTCACCTGAGCTAAAAGGGCATTTAATATGACTGATCAAACCCACAATTACAAATGAGAAAATACTGTGCCCTGTGGAGAGTCTTTAATACTTACACTTCTGCTCATTGTCCATCAATGGCGTACAGCAGGTAAACAGTGGAAAATGATGATCCCATCAGTCAATTTATTAGAATCATGTTAGTTTTAAAGCAAAAGATCTCAGCAAACACGTTTTGACTATATTATGTCAAAGTTTTCACTGACCTGCAGGTTTTGGGGACATCAGAGTCAATGGCAGCTCCACTACAGCATCACTGAGATGACAAAAAGTTTAATTGTTAAAAAAAAAAAATTAGAAATGTGATTCATGTCTAGTTAACAAAAAACTTGAGCATGACCAAAAATGAACAAATATGTCTACCTTCCTGTCAGACCCCCCAGAAGACTGTGGAGAAAGACAGAAAAAAAAAGAGACAATTATTTTGGTACATTCGGTTTGAAATTCACATTATTGGGTGAAACCTTACCCTCCACTTGACGTCGATACGTTAACCTTCACTTTGTACGAGACAATGATTCCCAACATCTCCTTATCCCCCTGACTCCTGTGAGGAGACAGGAATAGTTTACCTTTCAGAGCTGAGGATTTGTGTAAGTGGATGACACAACGCATTTAGGAGTGCCACTCATTAAGAGGATGAAAACCTGGCCTGGCTGTAAGCACTTTGGTTCAAGAGAAACTCTTACAGAGTCGTGGATGCCAAGTTGGTGTCCTCATCTTTTAGCCGTCCATCTATAGCGATCCCTCGCTTCTCTTTGTTGTTGGCCAGTAGGGGAGTTACCTGGAAGGACTTCTCAAACGTAGAATTAGCACCTACTGACACTCTGTGCATTGAAGTGGGGGGGGGGGGGGGGGGGGGGGAAAAAAAAAAAGGACACCAACTTTTCTTCCACGACTCTGTCAACATAAGTAAAAGAGACGGGGGGGGAACAGTTGGT